GACTGTGGGAAACAAGGAAACCAGGCTTTGCTATTGGCAACCTTTTAATGCAAGAGTGGAAAGATTTAAAGCTCCCCAGTGGAATTAAAAGTTTGGCATTATAGGAAAAGTACTTAAGTAAGTAAATAAATACATACATAAATAAATCATTTTTTTTTAATCTGAAGAAGAATATGTTAGGATTCCTTTGATGAAAAAAAATCATATCGGCATACACATAAAAGGATATTTATTGATTTATTTATGTAGAGTCTAAGTGGGTGGAAATACAGTTGAATCCAGAGGCTCAAAGTGTGATTATCAGGTCTCTTCCTTTTCTCTTTCCCTCTCTTGGCTTGATGCTCTTCTGTGTTGGCTGTATTTTTGAGTGGGCTTTCTCCACATAGTGGCCACAGGCAGCTCTAGGCTAATAACCTCAACAGGGAAAACACACACACACACACACACACACACACACACACACACACACCAAAACCCTATTTGTCCCAGTAGTTGCAATGTGGGATCCAGAATTGAGTCCCATTGCCCATTACCGAGCCCATCATTATGTGGGCTTGGGGTGGAATGTCCTAACTGGCCAGATGAGTTCACACACGAAGGGGGGAGAAAGTGGGTAGTTGGCTCCACTTAAACCACTTAGACTAAGTGTAGGAAAAGGATAGTTCCCAAAGGACCACCAGGTGTTGCTACCAGAAGACAGAGTACATGCTATGTGCAGCCAGATCTCTGCCTGCTACAGAGAGGAAATCAAGAGCTCACCTGGTTTTGAAGTAGATAGCAAGATAATGTTGTTAGAGGTAAATATGTGTTCTCTGCTAAAGATTAATGAGAGGAAATAGGCATAAACAACGTAGGAGGGACTTCAGTAATAAATGTTTTTCAGAAAAGCTAGAAATAGATCAAAGTTTTATTTTTTTATTTTTTTAACGTTTTTTTATTTATTTTATTTTATTTTATTTTATTTTATTTTATTTTATTTTATTTTATTTTGGGACAGAGAAAGACAGAGCATGAACGGGGGAGGGGCAGAGAGAGAGGGAGACACAGAATCGGAAACAGGCTCCAGGCTCTGAGCCATCAGCCCAGAGCCCGACGCGGGACTCGAACTCCCGGACCGCGAGATCGTGACCTGGCTGAAGTCGGACGCTTAACCGACTGCGCCACCCAGGCGCCCCTAGATCAAAGTTTTATTAATCAGACCCCATTTTCCCACCGATTTCCATTATAAAGTCACAGCTGTATTCCTAAAAGGGAACAGATCCACCAGATTTCTCACTTGGGAACTTCTGATGAAAAAGCAGTTATGGTCGCTGTAGATCTGTGGTGTCTACCAGAGCTTGCGACGCAGCAGTGGTACAATTCTGCCAGAACTGCAGTCACCAACTACCAATTCACTTTTGCTTTGGGCTTCTTCAGATTTGGAAGCTGTTTCCTTTCCCTCCCTCAGTAAACAATCTCCCTCCCTTTCTCTCTCTCTCTCTCTCTTTTTTTTTTTTAATTTTTTTTTCAACGTTTATTTATTTTTGGGACAGAGAGAGACAGAGCATGAACGGGGGAGGGGCAAAGAGAGAGGGAGACACAGAATCAGAAACAGGCTCCAGGCCATCAGCCCAGAGCCCGACGCGGGGCTCGAACTCACGGACCGCGAGATCGTGACCTGGCTGAAGTCGGACGCTCAACCGACTGCGCCACCCAGGCGCCCCTCTCTCTCTCTTAAGAGAGAGAGAGAGAACGAGAAGAGGAAAGGGGCCGAGGGAGAGAGAGAGAAAGAGGAAGAGAATCCTAAGCAGCCTCCACGCTGAGCGCGGAGACTCACATGGGGCTCGATCTCGCGACACTGGGATCATATGCTCTGAGCTGAAATCAAGTCTGATGCTCAATTGACAGTGCCACCCAGGTGCCTCTGTTTATCTTTTTCTTAGCCACTGACATTTTTCCTTTGCTAAGACAGCTTTAACTTCATCTTGGACATCCAAGAACTTTCCCATCGTTTTGCATAACAGAGCTAACTACAAATGCAGTGTCTCATTGTGCCAACAGGGGAACTGTCTGATTCAGGTTCTGTCACAGCCTGAAACTTCCTTAAGAGCAGAGCTTTTGCTTTTATAAGATTGGAGGCCACATAAAGGAAGTGGTGGTTAGGACCACATGCAGGGACTTCCCAGGCTTTTTGGAAGCAATGAAAAGGTAGGGGTGGGGAAGGCAGAAAAGAAGCAGGTACAGGCAGCCTTTAGCAAGTGTACTGCCTTTGTGTATATCTGACTTACAAGAGAATGGAATCACAACCTACAACATAGAAAATAGTATGTAGACTTTGCCTGAACGAATGTCAAGTTTAAACGGGAGATTGGCAAACTCAGATGAAAAATTATTAAAGATTTCTTAAGCATTTCTATTACTCCTTCCCCATCTTTCTTAATTCCTGAAATTTATATCAAGACTATATCTTTGAACTCTTTTATTAATTCATTCATTCAACAAATAGTTACTGAGCGCCTGCTGTGTGCTGGCACTCTTCTAGGCATGGAGGCTACAGCAGGGAACAAAACAAAATCCTTCACTTTGTAAATTTTACCTTCTAAGGAGGAGAGTAGTCGATAAATAAGCAAATGCCATATATAACGTGTATAGTGCTAAGAAGAAAAATCAAGCATAAGGAGTGGTAGGAGAAGGAGGCTGCCATTTTATATGTGATAAGTGTGATATTTGAACAGAGACATGATGGGGCTTGGGGAGCAAGCCCTAAGGCTACCTGTAGGAGGAGAAGCCTGGGCAGAGCGGGATGTCAGAGGAAGACAGTAGACCTGAAGCAGTGTGGTCTACTCTAAGAACAGTGAGGAGGCCAGAGGTGCTGGAGGATAGTGAGCAGGGGAGAGTAGTGGTAAAAGATGAGGTCAGTGAGTGAACAAAGGCAGGTGGAGATGGGGTTTGCTCATAAACAAGGGAGAGGGAAACCATTGGGGGCTTTGGGCAGAAGAATGATGGGGCCTGATTTGGTTTAGCCAGATGGTTCCAGCTGTGATGAAGGTAAATGGTGAAAGCAGACGGGCCAATTAGGAGATTATTGGAGGGAAAAAAAGGAGATCAACAGGCCAGAAATGATGGACCAGAGTAGTTGAAGTAGAGGTGGTAAAAAGAAGCAGTCTCTTCCTGGATATATTTTGAAACCTGTATTTCTTTCCTTTGTTTTTTTCTTCTTCCCCACTATTCTTTAAAAGTGTGTAACGTTTTCTTCCCAAGTAACCCAATTTGTATTTATATAATTTTGAGACTAGGGGCTTTATTTCTAATTCTGTCATAGATCATATATCCCCTCCTCTCTCCGTCCATGTAAAGTTTGCTCGATATGGGGCGGGTCTCAGATAATGATTACACATCTAGGAGGTACTGGCATGATGGGAAAAGGAATCAGGAAGTGAAGGAGTCTCCCTTTATCTGCAGTTTGCCTTTCCACAGTTTCAGTTAGCCTCGGTCACCTGTGGTCTGGAAGCAGATAATCCTCCTTCTGACTAAATCATCAGAAGGTCAGTAGTAGCCAAACACTGTCACAATGCCTGCATCACTGACCTCACTTCGTCTGCTCATGTAGCCATTTTATTATCTCACGTCATCACAAGCAGAATGTGGGCGAATACACTACATTAAGATATTTTGAGAGAGAGAAAGACCACATTCACATAACACTTATGACAGTTGTTATTGTTATTGCAATTGTTCCAATTGTTCTATTTGATTAGTTATTGTTGTTAATATCTTATTGTGCCTGATTTATAAATTAAACTTTATTAGGCGCACCTGGGTGGCTCAGTAGGTTGAATGTCCGACTTCCACTCAGGTCATGATCTCATGGTTTGTGGGTTCAAGCCCCACATAGGGCTCTGTGCTGACAGCTCAGGGCCTAGAGCCTACTTCAGATTCTGTGTCTCCCTCTTTCTCTGCACTTTCCCTGCTTGCACTCTGTCTCTCTCTTGCTCAAAGATAAATAAACATTAAATCAAAAAATAAATTAATTAAACTTTTTCATAGGTAGGTATGTATAGGAAGAAACATAGAATATAGAGTGTTTGGAACTATCCGCAGTTTCAGACATTCACTGCGGGTCTTGGAACATATCCCCTGCGAATAAGGGGGGGCTACTACCATACTTGGAAGAGAGACTCAAGAGCAGGACCTTCCCCACTTCTGATCAGGGAACTCAGCCATAAGTATGGGTCTCCTACTGATCATGCCCAAAATGCTCTGAAGATATTCCCTTGTGGAAATTACTCTCATCGTTGACAGTTTTACAGAGAATACTCATATTGGAACAGAGAACCGCAGCAAAGACAGGAAGCACTGCTGTGCTTTGGCAGGAATAATACTAGTCATAGAACCATAGAGTCTCAGACTTGGAGGGCTCTCTGGAGGGTATTTAATCCAGTCTTCTCCTGCTGCTTGTGAATCCCTGCCACAATATATAATCATCTACCCTCTGCTTTAAGAGACTAGAATCCAAGGGCGCCTGGGTGGCTCATTTGAGCATCAGGTTGAGCGTCTGACTTTTGATTTTGGCTCCAGTCATGAACCCAGGGTGGTAGGATTGAGCCCCAAGTCAGGCTCTGTGCTGAGCATGGAGCCTACTTAAGACTCTCTTTCTCTCCTTCTCTCTCTCCTCCTCTCTCCTCCCCCTCTCTCTCTCCCTCACTTGCACTCTCTCTGTCTCTCTCAAAAAAAAAAAAAAAAAAAGAGTCTAGAATTCATAAATCATAGAATGCCAGTGCTGGAAGTGATCTTAGAGAACACATAGGACTGAGACTAGAAGAATCCAGGAGTCTGAACTCCCAGACCCGTGTTCTCTGCACTCACTATGCTGTCATTCCAAATAAAGGGCAGCCCTTCCTGGTAGAATTACAGAGGTGGGTTTAAGTGTCTCAGTGTTCATCCCGTCACAGGCTGTCTGGGTTTATTTGCTTTCCAATTTTAAACCATAATGAATCCTTTCTTTTTATTTTTAACCCCAGGGGTTGCCTTGCTCTCAGATGTGTACCCTGAGAAAATCTTGCTTGGCCTGTTGGCTCAGTATGACGGTGGTAAAGACAAGCACACGCCAGAGACCAGAATGAAAGTCGGGGAAGTCCTGATGCGGGTTGTCAGGGCATTAGGTGAGTTTTCCACGGCCTGGAAAATGGTGGGGGGCAGTATGGCTTCGGAACCAAAGTCTGTGTACCTTGGAGGTTTCTTATGCTAGCAAGGGGAGGACAGTTTCAGGGCTGAGATGAACTACTTCCTGCTCAAGGATTTAGCAACAATCCACACGCCCACTAAGGGATTGGCAGCAATAGTGCCTGTTTTCCTACCACTGCTTGTTCTCCGCCCCTCAGCTATGTTGGGGCCTGATTTTCGTTGGAGCTGGAATGAGAAGTTTCACACTGGCTGAGCAGCAGCAGGAGGAATGTCAGACAGGGAAGGAATAGCACTAGCTCTTGTTGAATGGCTACTGTGTGCCAGGTCGTCTGCATATATAGTCTCATCTAGTTTTCCCAACAAATGCTACAGAGAGGCTGTTGTTAGACCCGTTTCATAGGTGAGGAAATCGTGGTGCAGAGACCTTCAGCAGTTTGTCCCAAGACACTTTCAGCTGGTAAATAGTGGTGCTGAGAGTTGAACCCCCCAACTCAAAGGACGTTGCTCCAGACTACATAAGCTGAGAGTTGTAAGTAAGAACATGAGCTCCTGGGTCACAATATCTGGGTTCAAATCTCAAACTGCTGCTTATTGGCTATGTGACCATGGAAACATTTCTTAACCTCTTGGTACTTCAGTGTCATCGTGTATAATATGAGAATATTAATAGCACTTACTCATAGGGCTATTGTAAGGATTAACTAAGGTAATACTTGGAATAGCGTTTGGCACACAGTACAGGCTCAATAAATTTTCATTTTTGCTAACAAGAAAGATTGCTTTTTTAAAGAAAAGAAATACTTTATTATTTACTACTTATTGAGTACCCTTAAGGGGCTGGGAGATGGGACACTGGGGAGTCAGGACAAAGAAAACAATTGTTCACGTTAAAGATGGGGGTTAAATTAAGATAAACTAACAAATTTCTCCATAAGTCAAAAAGTATACTGTTGTTATTTTTATATCGGGCTATATAACATAGAATTGGGAGGGGGTTCTTTAACTTGCGTTACGTAAACTTAGCCATTGACTGCTACACTGAATATAGATAGCTTGAAGCCTTAAAATAAGGCAAACCAGTCATTCAAGTGTGGCCAGTGGTATATAGTATCCATTGAGCCAACCAGCTGCCATGTTGAACTTGGAGAATTAAGGTGTGTTTGGGGGCCATATTCTCACTCTGTATGTCTGTGTCACATTACATTAAGAGATGTAGTAGCATCAGTGGTTAATATTTTGGCCTGAAAACAATGCCACACAGAACTGGACTTCTTCTTTAATCTGGACCAGCATCTTCTCAAGCACCGATAGATTTGTTCTCGGCCCGTTAGTAATTCCATCATGTATCCCCTAGCCTGTGACCTAAGGCAGAGAGAGAAGTGATCTCAGCTTCAGTTTGACTAATTTGTCTGTGAGCTCGTAAATGTTACTCTACCCAATAGGTGAAGATTTTGGAAAACAAAAGAGCTTTTTGCCACTTGCTTTGAGAAATCACACTGATTTCTTCTTTACCAGCATTCAAAGTATTTACAAAGCTTCTGAATAACCATGCATTATTTCTTCAGATATAGCCCTGAATTTTCCTAATTTCTGGGCGTCCCTCCTGGTTAAAAAAGAGGACCTAGATCTCTACCCACTTAAATAATTTTTTTCTACCTAAATCTTTTGATTAGTGAAAGAAAAATCTCATGAAAGTGAAATTTAGAAAAAAAAAATGTTTTCTAGTCTTTAAAGAAAGACCAATTTTCTATATTTGCCTTAGTCCTAAATATGGATCCGAAACATACCAGACAAGTGCACCATTATAAGAAATCATTCTCTCACAGGAGGTGTGAATGTTAAGTTTCAAGTATCTCAGGTCCAAGTGCAACCTGTGACTTCTATTTGCGTCTATCATTGGGATTATCGGAGCTAAGAAGGAACGTATGCCATACATAGACTACATCAGTGTAACATGTACTTTCTCTGTAACTTCTGGTAGACCTCTACCGCCTGGATGATGAACACCGAAATGCACGTTTCTCGGTCTCTAGTGACCAGGGGTGGGAGTGGAGGTGAAGAACTGGGTGGATTGGGAGAGAGGCCTTACTCCACCTTACATGTGCCTATAATTAGCCCAATTCCCAAAACCGTCTTTTGCGGGCTGTTTCAAAGAAAACTCCATCGATTCTCAAAGTTCTAATGTTCCCATAGCCTACTCTTCTAGGTATCCAGCCATAGATACCGCCTTTAGCTTTACCTGCCAGTTTCTAATTCACATTACCAACATGTCCAAGTGCAGAGACGAGGTGGCTTGCTGAAATCCTTTCACTGGAGTTAAAGCCCGTTTTTACAACATAGCCAGTATTCTTAGTTTACCAGTGATATGGAAATCCCTGTGGACAGCCTCTCTGTAAGGCTTCCTTAATAAGTACCCTGCTTTCATTGGCCTGGGACTTGCTCTGTCCCCACCCCCAGCTCTTCTTTGCAGCAGGGGGAGTTCCACAGGAGAACGAGGCCCACAAGTGGGAACCGGGTGCAGGACACTGCTGCTTCCTCTTGGCATCATGCCTAGTTCCCCAAGCACGTCTGCTTTCCTTCCTGCTGCTAGACGATGGTGAAAATCAGGAGCTTTTTTCTTGCCATTTTTAAAAACGGAGGTATCACACACACACAGTGAAGTATAGAGAGTATACTAACGTCAGTGTAGAACGCTTGCAGTAGCCCATGAAGTTTCCTTTTGTCCCTTCCTAGTCTCTACCTGCCCCAGAGGTAAGCACTATTCTAAACTTTTTGTCACTGTCCGTTTATTTTGATTGTTCTCAAACTTCATTTTCATGGACTCAAATCCCCATATTTCTAGTATGCCGACAGATCTAGACACTTTTGTAAATCGGGGTCAAATTTGGGGGCTAAAAATACTTCATAGGCATGCTGTGTATGGTCTTTCCTGTTGTCTCACAAGAGGAGGCACATAATGTCTGGTCGTCTCATTTTAGTGGTGCTGAGGGCGATTAGTGGGGTTTCTAGTCAGGTATATCTGTTATAAACTTCTCCATCAACCTTCCTCCTCATGGTTTTAAGTAACCATTGATAATTGTAGCCTAGATCCATTATTTCATAAGGGTTGTATATTTTTTTTAGACATTAAGAAACAGCTGCAGAGAGGGCTACTAACTTGCCTAATGTCGCACAGCTAATTAATGGTAGATCCCGAATTTGAACTCAGACAGCTTGACTCCAGACCCAGTCTTATTACCCAAAACAGTGTTGCATCCTGAACATTCTCCCATGTTATTAAGCACCTTTTTCCTGTCATTAACATGGACATTTTCCATATCCTCTGTAATTTTTAATGATTGCATGGTAATATATCATTTGAATGTACCATAATTTTTTCAAGTGACCAACTTACAGGTTGGTCCGAGTTTTTGCTGTTATGAATTACATTAAGATGAATATCCTTGTAGCTAAATCCTTTGTGCAGATTCATGATCATTTCCTAGGAAAACAATTTGCTAAAAGTAGAATTTGTTAAAAGCATGTGCATATTTTTAAAGATATTTATTGCTAAGTTGTCTTCCAGGGAGGTTGTGCCAGTTTATTTATTTAAAATTTTTAATTTGAGTATAGTTGACACACAATGTTAAAGTAGTTTCAAGTGTACAACATAGCGATTTGAGAAGTTTATACATTATACTGTGCTCACTACAAGTATATTCGCCATCTGTCAACCATCTAATGCTGTTACAGTATCATTGACTGTATTCCTTACGCTGTGCCTTTTGTTCTTGTGACTTACTCATTCCATGGAAGCCTGTACCTCCCACTCTTCTTTAGCCATTTTGCCCGTCCCCCTGGGATTGTGCCAGTTTATATTTCACTGTTTGAGAATACTTGCCTATACCCTCGTCAGTAGTGTATATGCCATGTATTATCATTTTTATCAAGCACATGTATAAAGAAATGCTACCTTGTTTTTACTTCCATTCATTCCATTGATAAGGTTAAACATTTTTCATATATTTATTGACTAAATTTTGTGTGTATGTGGAGGGTGTGTGTGTGTGTGTGTGTGTGTGTGTGTGTAAATTGGCTTTTCCTATTCTTTCTCCATCTTTCTGTTGGAGGTATTGATTTTGTCATTTGATTTATAAAACCTTTACCTAATTAAAAATTGTGAACCACTGAAATTTATGTTGTGACTATTTTCTATGGGTTGTTTACATTGTAGTTGTGTTCATACTTTCTGTTTCACTTTATTTTGAAACACAGAAGTTTTTTATTTTGATAAAGGCAAATCTATCTACTCCTTTATGGTTTTTCTTCCTATAGGAAGGCTTTCTCAAGCCAAGATTATATATTAATCTGTATGTTTTAATCTCTACTCTTCAATGTAGAAAATATTGTGGAGAGATTTTGGTTTCATTTCTTTTATTTAAGGAACTGTTTAGTTTTTTATTGTACTTTCAGAAATTTAATCTTAACACATTGCTAAATTACCAATCACTCCAAATGTTTCTCCATATGTTTCCTCTTATATGGCCCAGTGTCGATGTTGACAATAACCTGTGGACTGTTATCTGTCATTGCAGTTTTTAAAACTTCTTTTAAAAATATATCATTAGAATACTGTGCCCAAGATAGTGAATTGGCAATTGGGACATTACTTAAAAAGTAGAATCAAAGTGAAGAGGATTGAATACATATGCGACGGTATTTCCTTCTGAGGCCGCCTGGAGCATTATTCCTGATCTGATGGAGACTACACAGCTTTCTCACATATGCCAAATGCGATATCTGCTTTCTCTTCAGCAGGGCTGAACAAACATTGCCCCGTCCTTTGTTCTCTAGATTAGTGATTTTCAAATAGGGAGGCAGGGGAAAGAATTTTGCTCCCTAGGAGATATCTGGAGACATTTTTAGTTGTTACAACTGGGGGCAGGAGAATATTACTGGCCATTTAGTGGGTATAAGGCAGGGATGCTCCTCAACAGCC